GAAGGAACAAACAACAGCTCTCCATTGCCAAAGGCTATAGTTCAGGGGTAGCCTGAGCCTCTTGAACTACTAGCTACTTCAAACACATCATCTTTGGACTGGCAGTTCTGTTTATTAGACAATTTATGTGCTAAGCAAACAGAATAGCTTTTACTTGATTTATCATATGAGTTTATGCCAGGTAAAATGGCTCAGCAAAGGATCTGACAGACACTGCTGGCACAAGGAAGAAGGGTGCAAATAGCACAGCCCAGAGTTAGTGACTTACATTTCTATAACTCTACAGCCTGAGATTTGGTTTCCCTCCCCCTAAAATTCATGTGGTGTCAGGAACAAAGAACATTTGAAATGATTCCAGTAACCGAGGGCGCTAAAATAGTTAGAAGCGGGAGGAAACATCAGAAAAAAAAATGAGAATCATCTCATAAGCTGTCTTGACATTTTCAGTTTTCTTCTTTCCAATCGAAAGCTAAACATTTATTCTACTAATGAAAGATGATTCTTTCTCATGACTCTGGAAATAGAGAACTAATTCCACAAATTCTGATTCATTTTTTCTAACAAGGGATAGTTATTACCGTCGCTCTTCATATCTTATCTGAATTGCAGAAAACATACTTTATCTTAATTAAACTGAACAGAAGAGCAGTTGAAATGCATTTTGTCACCCTTCCACATATTGAAACCGTGAGGATTTAATCAAATATCAGTTATCTCAATTTCCTTCCATCAGCAGAAGGAGTCACATGCAACACCAGCTAAAGCCCATTGCAGTAAATTCAGCCTGAGCCAGAAATCTGCTCCACAAGAAGATTCTGGTGTGGTTACCTGTGCCAGTAACAGACTAGATATCAGGACTGAAAAGAACCTGCTCTGTCATGTTTTTAGATAGCTACACTGCTAGCCAAGTGCACGCAAACATCTTCAGTCCTGTAGCTATTAGCTGATCTTGCACTGGCAAAGTTTAAATTTCAACAGAAACAGCAAGCATGTGATGTCACCTAGTGCTCCACTGCCTCCACAGAGTTCTCCAGATATTCTCCAGGTTATCTAGCACTGTTTTGAATCCCAAACCTCCAGATCCTGTTTGAGAGCCCCCCTTTATGGAGACTATCACAGACATTCAGAGCCAAGAAGCAAGAGCTAGTACAGAACTTGCTCATTAAGAAATACTCCCTATAAGAAGACTTAAGAACACTCAGTAATGCCCATACAGTTCCGTACTTCCAGAGATTCCAAAGATACACTCAGTCACTCTAGAAATTCTACACAAGTTGTGATTAATGAGATATTCCAACAAGACGCCAGTCTATTTGATGCAGTGGTAGCTTTAAACGGAACCTCTTTCTAGATTAAGTCTTAAATCCTGATTTTTTTACCCTTTAAGTATCAGAAGATGTCTAGGTCAATGCCCTCAATTTGTGAAAATAAACACAAGGAGGAAGATGCATATTCTTAAAGAAAGGTAGGCTGTGGAGAAGTGGAACATTTTACCAAAGAAAAAGGTCTGGAATATCATTAAAAAAATGAAACATGCTTAGTACACAAACTTTCTCCTCCTACCTTGGTGCACCATTTGTTCTGTGCTGGGAACACTTCCCCCCTCCCCATCTTCTTGGCAGAACTGCAATGTTAGTAAACTCCACATTTAGAAGTGTGAGCAAAAATTCACAGTTTACTGTTTCTGATACTTTTCTTGATGCTGATCTGTTTTCTCTGTTGTAAACTTCCATACTACTACCAGAAATTGCTTTGTCACAGCTCTCTCCACTGCTCTTCCAACTAGAGACTGACGCTTTCCTTTCTGTATCATGCCAGGCCCCACATATTTTGAACCCTAGCACAGGATGCTAGATTCCACTACATCAGAAACTCAGCCTTTGACCAACAAGTAATTATGGCCTCAGAGTCACAAGCCTGAGATTATTACTTAGCCTATTCTTACACTAATGGAAAAAACAGTTTATTCTTCCAGAAAAGGTTCACTTGAATTACTGATGGCGTGTCAATGACCTGCTTTCAGCAAACAGTACTCCAAGCTTAAAAATCATCACGTCATCTTGCATCCAAGGCTTTGAAAGCACAGACAAAAAAAAAATGAAAAGAATAAATGTTACTTAAATGTTGCCTAAACAACAAACAAAAATTCACAAGACCACTAGTTAATCTCACATGAAATATCTGCATTAAGAGATATGACAGAACAAACTGCTAAGTGAACTCTACATTACTAACAAAACTTTTAGTTGCTACTTGCACTGTACAGATACCAACTAGCCTTAGATGCTTTCAATAAATGGTTAGGAAAACAGAAACAGTCATTTCGGAAAATAATTGTTCTTAGTAAATTCACACCTAGTAAACATTTAATGCCAAAGTGTTTTTATCTACCTCTATTCGTTTCTTGAAAAGAAATCAAGTTCAACAGTTCCCATAAACACATGAAATACTCCTCCCTCTTCCTTGGGAAACTCATGGAAGTAAAAACAGAAATCTTAAAGGAATGCAGAAAAAAATAGTTTGGGAAACTCTCCAAAGCCAATCGAGTTACAGATATAAAGGGCTTTTTATTGAGGTACGTGAACTAGCAAAAAAAAAATAAAAAATCTCCCCTTAGTCTCCTCAAACCAGTACAGCTGTGTTCCCCTGAGTTACCCTTCTAACAGAGGATGAGCAGAAGAGTGTCCCCTTTGTTAGAAGTGCAGCCTCTCCACCTGTGCTATCAGTTTCTCATAGCACACACCCCAAGACTCCGAAAATCAGTACAGTCTGTGCACACTTCAGTAACAGCAAGTGGGGGTAATTAAGTTTATCAACCACTGCCTGCAGAGGTCAGGAGGTACAGCAAGAATTCAAACACCTGTATCCACCTGTTTTAATGAAACATGCTCCACATTTGTCTGCAACCTTTAGCCAAGTCAGTGGCAAGCCTGAAAACTAAATCATCCAAATCAAGGCCCTAAAGCAGCCCTGCTTAATCAAAGAAGCATTCCAAAGGGAAGGCTGAACTTAGTTTGGCAGAGGAGTTACCTGGCTATTTGGGCACACCATGATACCAAGTTAAATACATCTTTCTTTAAATACATTGTGAACAGGTAAACTAACAAAGCTTACAAAGTTAACTTGAACATACTAACTTACAACTGTCTCAACTCCTATGCTCTAGTACTAAGAATGAGGTTGTGATATGGATACAGAGCAACAACTCGTCTTACAGTTACTGCTTTCATTCAGAAGTCACGCGTCTTCTACGTTCTCCAAGTTCTCAGTTCGCTGAGCAGCTCCTTGCCATCAGACACAGGTGGCCTTGCCAAAGGAAGATGTCCTGTGAGAAAAGAAGGTAGAAGACAGTAAGAAACTCTGCTCTCAGTTTATTCATTACAAAGGACGAGAATTTGTTAGTCACCTAACGGTAAGATACACATAGAAGAATCGAATCCTATTCTCAGGTGCTAAAGAAGCATTCCTGTAGAAACAGGATTCTCTTCTACCTCTTGTCAGCCGTAAGAGGGCCACCTGTGAGGTTACTCTCTATGCATCTCACTGCAAGAAACCAAAAAAAAATTCCACTCAGAGCAGTGGAGTTAAATCTCACACGCTTGTTTTCCTATTTTGAAATTTGCTAGTACTCCTTACAGAATTTAGCTTAAGAAATTCAATCTGAATACACTGCTTTAGCCAGCTTTTCCAAATCTAGATCTCCTTAGAATCCACAGCATTGACTGCTTTGGGACATTCCAGGCTTCTAAGGACAAAAAACACCCACGCACTTTTTTGACCTCCCTGGACTCTAAAATTACAGTACTTGCCAGCATCTACGGCCAGAACATTTCTAAAAATACTGGGTATTTTCAGAAAAACCTTTTTTTCCAATTAAAAATAGTTTAATTGTACTTATTAAGTGGTGCTTGTTTTGTCTTTATCTCATCCTTTCTTCATTTGTATTTGTGTAAATGCGTTATAATATGCTTATCAGTACAACAATACAGTTATACAAATAAAAACAGGGGAAAAAACATATTGGGAGGGGGGGAGGCTGGTCAACTTCTGGGGGTTTTATTTACATGGACCCAAGGCAGTGGGGACACCACTGCTCCAGCAGGCAAAGCCTCCCCTGCTGGGCCTCCGCCACCCAGCTCTCCCCACAGCCCCTCTGAGGTTCCCCCCTCCTGCCTTCCCCCCAGGCCCCCTGCCCTCAGTGCGGGCATTTCAGAGGGCTTCACTGAGCGCTGCCTCCCGAAGCACGTGGCTGCGGCTGTAAGGGGAGGGATTTTTCGGTTGTTTGTTTTTTATTCTCCACCCCCAGCTCTCCCGAGGGCCGCTCCGGCGCAGCCCCCAGCCGGCCCCACACACACACGGGCAGCGCGGGGACGAGGCCCGCCGGGGGAGGCCGGTCCCGGGGCTGCCCGTGCCGCTGCTGCCCAGCTGAGCCCCTCCGGCGGCGGGCAGGGCGAGGAGGAGGAGGAGGAGGAGAGGAAGGCCGCTGCCCTCCCTACTGACCTGCCGGCGGCAGCGCCCCGGGCCGGCCGCGCCGCGAGCCCTCAGCCCCCTCGGCCGCCGCCAGCTCCCTCACAGGACCGCATCACCGCGGCCCGAGCGCGCTCGGATCCCTCCGCACCTCACCTCAGAGCGGCCCATTCCCCAAAGCCACCCCTAAAAGAGCCGCAGCCGGCCCAGGAGCGCTCCCGCTGCCCGCACCTCGTCCTCCCGCCGCGGCCCTTCCCTTCGCCCCCAGCTCGGGGCCGAACCTCCCCCACCGCGCCGGGACTACTTTTCTCACGCAGGCGGAAGCACACAGCTTCACTGCGCGCGCATCCTCGCCGTGCGATTTTAAAGGCTCGTGCGGCGCGCCGAGCGCGGGGCACGCTGGGACTTGTAGTCCTCCCCGGGGGCCTCCGCCGGCGGGCCGGGGGTACCTCGCGGCGGCGCCCCGCCCCCTCGCCCCTCCGCAGCCAATCGGCGCCCGCCCTGTGCGGAGAGGCTCCGCCCCCCCGGGCCGCGGTGGGCGGGGCCGTGCCGCGGCCGGCGGCGGCCGGAGTCGGGTGGTGCGCGCGGGCGCGGCGGCTGCAGCCCCGTCCCGGAGCCGGATCCTCGCCGGGGCCCGGCGGCCGCCGGCCCTCACGGAGCTCCCTCGCCTCCTTCTCCTCCTCCTCCTCCCCCGCTCGCCGCCCCCGGGAGGCGCCGCAGGGCTGGGGGGGCCGCCGCCAGGTGAGGGACGGGCCGGGCTGTGCAGGGCGGCGGGGGGCGGGACGGGACGGGGGGCACCGGGAGGGGGCCGCGAGGGGTCCCGGCGGGTTGTGAAGGGGCCGGGGGGGCTCTGAGGGGTCCCCCGGTGCCCGCCCCGCCCGCAGGCTCCGTGCCCCGGTTCCCCGGCGGCACCCCCAGAGCCCCGCAGGGAGCCCCTGAGGGCTCAGCCCATGGCCGGGGCTCCGCCGCCCTCCCCCGGGAGCTGCCGCGGGCTCCAGGTGAGCGCTGCCCCCCCCGGGGCTCGGTGCGGAGCCGCCCGGCGCCGTGCTGCTGACAGCCCGCCGGGCTGCGGGGCCGGGGGAGGCCGGGCTGAGCCCCCCCGGCTGCTCCCCGGGGGGAACGGGGGGGCTCAGGGCACGGCCCGGTGCTGGGGGGGGCTCCCCGCGCAGCCCCCGGGGCTTTTGTTTGTTCCTCCCGGGTGGCTTCGTGCGGGACCCGAGGTGTGTACTGAAACTTGGGTAAAGTGGCCGGCTGGACAATTGCCTTTGTTACGGATTAAACGTGTTTAATTCTGTCGGGCTCCTGCTTGACTTGCAGCCTCGCTCAGGCGGTTTGCTCCCAGCAGCTCTGCAGCGCAGGAAATAGTTGTGGATGTTTTATTTGGTCACTTTGACTAGTTACAGCTCTTAATCTAATTCCATTCTGGCTTAAAAGGTTTTGTCTGTAAAGTAGCCGAGATGATTTATCCAGATGAAGCATCTTTCTGGCACAGCTGCTGCTGTGCTGCGTTTTCAGGAGAGCCTCGTTTTGTCCCCTAAGCTGTAGCAGTAGGCGAGAAGCGAGTTACCCAGCTTTCCATGAGGAACTTTCCATGATGAAGCTTACACATTCTTCTCCTGATGTATTTACCTTATTGTTCGCCTATCTCCCGTAGATAACGCAATTCACAGACTTCCGAAATGACTTTCTTGGGTTGTTCTGTTTGTTCCTCCGCACCTGAGTGGCGGTGGCGGTGCGGTTCCTGGGGAGCCAGCATCCAGCCAGCATCGCCTTCCTGCCCGGCCCTGCTGCCAGCAGGCGCTTCCACCCAGCTGCACACTCCTGGAAGTGAGCAATTGATAGCGGAGGGAGCTGCACTCCTGGGCACGAGGTTTGGCTTTCATTGTTTCAGAAACACGCAGCAGCCATGCAAATGAATGCATTGATTTCAAAAGAACGGCATTCCCTATTTATTGGCAAATCTTAAGGTTGCTTCAAAGAAAGGAAGAGCCAAGAGACAAAATGCCATTCCAGATTCTTAGCTAATTTGTGTTCCTGACTTTGCAGCTCTTTAAAAAGTCTATTTATAAACATATTTACTGAAATACTTATTCTTTTGTTTATGTTTGCAAAAAAATGTGTGTATGTATATATATATATATATATATATAATTTGTTGGAATTGATTGCTTAAAGACAAACAAGAGGGGCAGTGCTGTTTGGCCAAACAGCTCCTAAGTGGTTTCTTGCCTAATGAGGGTAGTCAAATACTAAGATAACTATTGTAAATTAGTGTTTAGGGTCACAGACATGGGTAATTGCTGTTAAGCTTCTGTACTGTGCTAGGAAAAATATGTCTGTGAAAAGATTGCTATCAAGTTAACAAGTTGAGACATGCTTTCTTTTCCCTGCCTTGTTAGTGGATTAACACTCCTGGGTCTCTCCTTTCCTTTTCCTTTTTCCTATGTAGTCTCCGCTGTTAGATTTCCCTTTTCCCTAGAGCTGCCCGTCATCCCAGTTAAGAATTAGACCCTCCCATCCCCACGAGTTGCCTGTTTGCTTTTCCCTTTTCTCAGAAGGGATCCCCGGTTTCTCTCCTCATTGTCGTTGCCTTTCCTGTTCTCACTGCTTTCTGACACGACCAGCTTTCAGGTGGTGTTAGCTCCATAGTCTTTTTTTTTCTGTGGATGCCTGTTAAACCCTCTTTTCCCCAGCTCTTGATGGCCAGAGAGGTCTAACCTGGGGTTTTCCACGTATGGATCCGAGACGAGGGCCTTCTCCTGCCAGCTTCCCCGTTGTTCCCACTTGCTGCGCTGCTGCAGCTCCTGAAGAATCCTGCTGGGCTGCTCCCTCCCGTGCAGTCGGTGTGTCAGAGCTGACAGTCGGGTAGGGGCAGAATAGCAAGATGCAGATGACGGGTACGGTGAGGAGATAGTGCTGCATTTGTGAGAAGCTCCGGGTGATTGAACATTATACGGCCATGTGACATGAAGAGAGATGGTGACGAGAGTGCTTGGCATGGGAAAGTGAAAATAAAACTTCCTTATCTTTCTGCTATTAATATATGATAACTCCAGATGTTTTTAGCCTACTTGGGACACAAAAATGGGAAGCTGTAAAGCACGGTTTGGTTTATTAGTTGAAGCAAAGTTCGAAGAAATAATGTCAAGTTGTTTGCAGGCCACGAGTAGTGTTTCTTCGCTGTGAGCAGCAGCCAAAAATCACCAGAGTGGCAAAATCCACTGTACGTGTGCATGGAATAACACAGGAGGAAGAGATGCCTGGCCCCAGGTCACAGCCAAGGGAAAGAGGCTCCAGACTCTTGCTAGAAGGGGTTGGCAAAGCATGATGCCTCTGCCCGTGGTGGTGGTACCTGTGGCAGGGGGGTACCGAGACCTCCTCTGCAGGGTTTTTTAGTGTTCCCCCACACATGGCCACTGTTTAAGGGTACCCTGGCATTTACATTGACCTAAAGCTGAGGTTGTTGCATTGTTCCACATGTATCAACACAATAACGTAGAATGGCCACTGCAGTATGCTTTTGAATTTGAGGGGGGAAAAAATATAGGCTGGAAACTGGGATTACACTTGGCTAGTTGGCTTTCACGATTTTAAAGCGGGGTGAAGTGGAAGAAGTAAACAGTATGCACTGAAAAAAATAGGAGAGCCTTAGTATTTCTGAAGTGTTAGTGACAAGGATAAATTACTTGTTTTTACTTGGTAACAGCTCTAATTAGCTGTCCAATATTTTAAGCTGCAGTTTCAATAAATCGTGGTTTAGTTTTGTACCCTGCATGTTTCCTTTTGGTTTTTCCAAACCATAAGCAGAAATTATCGACCGTGCGAGAAAATCTCAGTCTTCCTTTTGCCTGAGATAAGTGGCTGAGTCACTAAAGCAATTTATTCCCCCATATCTCTTTAAGTGGACTGAGTTGATGTGAGATTGCCTGATTGTTGGGAAAAAAATGTGGATAGAGTCAAACTACGCAGCGGTTTAGCTTTGAGGTCACTTTCTTTAAATTGATTTTCTTATGGGTATTGCACGGGCTGTTACAGAAGTCGCTGCACTAACTCTCTGCATTATAGAACAACTTTACCCCAACAGGTTCTGGGTTTGCTCAGATCAGGCCAAGAAGACCAGGATTGTGGAAACCCTCTGCAGCCTAGCTCACCATTTCTTTCTGCCCTGTAATCACGTATTGCTGAGCGCGATGAATGCAGAGTCAATGTAAAGCTGCACCACTTGGGGAAGTGTTTTGTAATCAGTCTTTAATTCATTTTTCTGCTTGAAAAATCTGGTTTTTTTTTTTGAGGGGGAAAACTCGTCCTGACTGGTTTCCCATTTTGAGTAGTTGGGTGGCAGATTCCAGTGCAATGTGCAGAGAGAGGTAGAATTTTACCCGGATTGTTCCAAAAATCTCCACCTCATAGATCCACTCGTGCCTGTCAGGTACAGGACTGGCCTTAACCGAGATGCTTTTGCGTGAATAAAGTAGCAATAACAAATGGTGTAATACAAAATGTTACCTGGACAAGACGTTTTTAAATCCTTCCCTTGGCAGGCTGTGCCCCACGTTGTACTTGAGAGTAGTATTTCAGTTTAAAAAAAAAAAAAAACACCTTACGTGCATTTAAACGTAATTGCTGAAAAATGCTCAACTGTGTTAATGCAGTCACTGTTGATTTCAGGAGACACTCTTAGCGAAGTTTTTGAAATCACAGTAAATAAATGGATAAAAATCGTGCCAGGCTAAACATTGTAGGCTTCTAGCGATACTTGTTTTAGTAACATCTTGTCTGAGATAACAGTTCAGCGTGGTGCTAAAGAGTAAGATCCTTACTTCGTGAAGCCAGTACTATTTTAGAAGTACTGTGACTAGCAAAAAATTTGCCAGATAAATGCAACCTCACTGGTGCTTAAGCAGATTTGGATTATTATGTTACTTGATAGAGGTTCTATAGGAGAGTATTTAGTGGTAAATTCACAGCTGAACTTTAGATGTTTTTATAAATCCATTAAATAAGTATCTGAATCTTAAAACGTTCCTTCTGGGATGGCTGCCTGTATTTCTACAGGCCTCTGTACAAAGCCCATCAAAAGGGGAAGATGATCCATAATACAAATGCTGTAAATACTGCATATGTATATTTATTTATATGCAGTCTTCCACCCCTAAGGCTCTTACTGTTAGAAAAGCCTTCGTACACATTTAAAAGACATTTAGTGTACGCTATAAACACGATCAAATTTAGACATCCTTCTAGATTGACTTTGTCTATATTGCCTCCTAATAGAGATATCTGTACAAATTGCAGATGCTCTTGCTGTTGTCTTAGACGCTAAGTAGCCTTTTTTATATTACTGTATTGCTTCTTTATCTATTAATGTCCTCTCTATGTTGTTTTTTCTAATTGCAGCAAGAGAGAGAACAGTTTTAAAAAGGAAAAATATAATTCTACCTCCCCACCTCCCATTGGCCAGTAAATTCAGAAATGATCATGTCTGAAGGTAATGGAAACACTTAAACATCTTACAGCTCTTGAGTTGAAAGTGTCCTTGTGCAGCTATTAGTCTTTTAGCCTTTTTTCTTTCCCCAGAGGCAAGTTCGTTCTTTTTTTCCACCTTGTATTAGTCCCTAATCATCTTCTGCAGAGTAACCTTTGAGCTTGTTTGGAACTCCATTAAAATCACTGATTCTCTCTGAGAAGGCTCAGAATTACATCAGTTTTGCTTTAATAAACTTTGAAGTTTAATGCAAATG